AGAGCGCTATCAGTCGTGCTCGGCGGCGAGGTGACAACAGACGAGGTGCTGTCAACTGTCTTCTGCGAAATAGAGAGCATGATCAACAGTAGACCACTGACACACGTCACAGACGATGTGAGAGACCTGACAGCTCTCACACCGAACCATTATCTCTTGGGGAGGGGAAGCTGTTGTCTTCCCCCTGGAGTCTTCAGCAGCCAGGATCTGCACTCCAAAAAAAAGATGGAGGTACGTTCAAGCACTGACGGACCATCTCTGGCGAAGATGGAAAAAGGAGTACCTCCATACCCTGATCCACAGGAGAAAATGGCAAGCTGACCAACGGAGCCTAGCAGTCGGCGACGTGGTGCTACTAGCAGAATCTGACACGCCCCGGGGTCACTGGCCGCTGGCGCGCGTGCTGCAAGTGTTCCCTGGGCCTGACGGCCGAGTCCGCGCCGTACAGCTCAAGAAGGCAGCAGGTGGTACGTATACCCGGCCTGCCACGAAGGTGGCGCTTCTGGAACTTGCCCCGTCGCCTCCTCAGCCATCTCATTAGCCGACCGAACGCAAACAAGAAATGATGCTGGCTTACTGTGGACTGTCGAGCCCACGCCCCCGAACCAGTTAAAGTAAGGAAGAGTATTTTGCGTGTGCGTGCTTACCGACACACTCACTCTTCATTTTTGTTTTGCTTTGTGAATTTGAGCTTCGTAACTCACGCATATGGCCGTCTGTGCTTCGCGTTTGTCTTCTGAACCTGAACTTCATAACTCGCGCATGTGGCCGTTTGTGCTTTGTAGTTTATTCGATTTAGGCGAGTAATTCGTACTTGTTTGTACATCTTTGTCGGTGATCGTGTCATTTCGTGTTCTCCCTGTGGTCAAACACGGGGGTGGAGTGATGTCACCGACGAAAGTGTTCGGACCAACCCGCGCTACCGCTGTGCCGCCGTGATAGCCGGCCGGCCGCCGTGCCACCGCGGCGCCGCCGCCGCTCGTTGCAGCCGTCCCGCCGCCGCACCGCCGTCACCCTGTCCAGACTCAGGATGAGTTGTGAGGCATTGTGCAGGGCGGGGCCGCGAGCAGACGCGGCCGGCGGTCGGTACGCGTGCCGCCGACGCTGCCGAGCCGCAGCAGTGCCGCGGCCGCCACCGAGACCGAGATATAAATTAAAGACACGTCGTTTTAAGGCACGTAGGCCGCCAAGCTGGCGCCTTCAGCCACCTCCCCGCTGCAGTGCAAGTTCGCACTCGTTTTGCACACGTCTTAAGCATTGCGTATAAAATGTGGGTCACGTACGACCCCGACAGAGTCTCACTTCGACCGTCGCGCTGTGCGCACGGACTTATCTGCCCCGCTCGACGCCTCGCCCGGCTGAGCGGGGACAGAGTACAGAAGCACGCGCGCAGACCGACTCTCCTGCGCGCAGCCGCGCCCGGCGGGGCAGTGTCAGTGCTTCAGATTTGTACAGTGAATGTGAATTGTGCTCCGTGTCTGCGTGTTTCATCTACCGGTTTTCTTCACAACTGCTTCCGCTTCTTGCTTCGCGTATACTTCAATAAATCCTCTACGGGAAATCTTCACGTCTATCTACAACTGTAAATCGCCGAATATCAAAAACCCAGGAGCTCACATAGCAGGCGGGCGGGCTACGAATGTCGCACAAACTCACCAAACAAAATACAGTCCACATCCAACCAGAAAAGAACTCCGAACGACAGTTTGTCGGCGACAGGCAGCATGTCAACGGGTGCCATGAAAGTTAACTACCTTCATTAGCTGAGACGGCAATGTTCATCACTGCAAATCATCAGATGTGCGCCACCGCTACGCCAGAGAAAACATGTTTCGGTTTGTGACACGATAACTGAATAATAAAACTCGTTTGATAGTAGTGTTTATCACTGCTGCAAGACAGTACATAAACGTAAGTGGAATCGTAAACCTTCAGCAGCCAACACAACCCCGACAACATGGTGAGCTATTCGTGTGAAGAGGAAGAAAGCTCAACAGTCTGTGTGTACTGTGAACTGGCACCGTTGAAATAAAGTATCCTAACAGATACGAACGATTCGCACGAGTTTCGTTCGCCGTCAAGTCCAGAACCACTTACGACATTGCCAACTTATCAAATATTGATCGGTTTAGCAGGAGATTCAAGGCTGGCGACGGGAAAACGCCTACGCAAACAAGGGTATGAAATACCTCCGGAGTCATGCGAGCAGTCTCGCGTATCACCTTCAGAAAACATACTATTCCCGGTGATAATTCCATCAACACTTCGACACAATGTCACCATAAACAAACAAGACACACTCTTCGATTGTGGATCTTATCGCTATCCCCACTTCAGCCTCCACAATTCTCGCCTCTCATACTGTTGATTCAATCTCTCCTCCGACATACGATTTTCACATATCACCTAATCTCTCACCGCCTTTGCTTCCCACAGCCCACGTGAGCACCGAAAACAGCAGGTTATCTCGTCATCAACCAGAAACGAATATGTCTCAGTCTAAGCCGTTATAGGTGTGATGGCCACTCGCAGACATAGCCGACCCGATGGTCACTGGTCACTAACAGCTAATGGCGATGGTGTGTGACTTTCGAGCAATCCTCAATACTTGTCACCAGTCGCCGCCTGCAATGGTGAGAACGATGTAGCAAGACCAACCGCAGTGAGCTTGTCGTACAGCAACGTTCAACTTCAGAGAGCACCTCTCCAGCCCGTGCCGCCCCGTCAGAGCCCGTCGGCAGCTCAGCAGGTCGTGGCGCGGCCGCGGCAGCGGTGCCAAGCCAAGCGACGCGCGGCTCGCGGCAGCTCGGGCCGTCGGCCGGCGGCGACCCTGTCCAATCGGTCACTGTCATAACGCACCGTTCGCTGACGGCCGCCGGCTGACGGCACGACACACGGCACGGGAGATGACGGAGCGGTCGGCCGGCCACCGGCAGCTGTCGTCCCTGCCGGCCGCTGTGACGGACCGACCGCCGGCGCACGGTGGAGGGTGGTGACGGGAATGGTGACCGGCGTGGTGACGGGTGGTGACGAGCGTTACGGTTCACCGGGTGGAACGGACGGTGGCACCGGGCGACAACGGAGCCGCACTGACCAATGGAACAGCGCGTCACGGCCGAGCGGCGAACAAACTGAGAGCAACGGGTTACCACAAATCACTATCTTCGTTCTTGGTCATGAGAAGCACTATACTGCAGTGGATAAATCAGGCTTCCTGCACTTATCTATCGAGCTCAAGCCACCATAGAAACTGAACGTAACACTCGGTTGCCACAAATCAATCATCATAACCATTCGCCATGAGCAATCAGCAATCGCACTGCATTTGATAAATGTTTCCTGCGCTTGAAACAGCCAGCAATCACACTGCATTGAATAAATTACGTTTCCTGTCCCTACCCTATCCGTCCACTTCAAGCCCTCCAAAGACAGTCAATCCCTTAATCTTACATTATTTATCTGCTGGTTGTCCCAGCCTATCACTCTCCTCTGCTCGTATAGTTATCCTCGTTATCGTTCCGCTGCTGGTGAGAACTGCCTCGGCTCTTCAGAAGTCGCCATTAGTTCTCGGATATAGCGTCTGGGAGCTTATCAGCCAGTTCTGAAGATTCCCGGCTATCTTGCATCCAAACCACTACCTTATCCTGTCTTGCACTGCCGGGGAAGGGTGTAGAGGAAATGACACGACTGCTGGACGAAATACCGCACTGCACATGCCACAGCCGGATGCCACAAACATGGCTCGACGCATCCGTTTCCGCCAGTTCCACGTCGAGCCTGCCATCCCCAGCTGACTATTATCGGTCGCACGGCGTAGTTAGAGGGGAACCCCAGCCTTGACAGCGCAGGCCGAGCACTGGCCTCTCCATAAAACCCCAAAGGTCACAGACTACATAAATTCAGCGATTTATCATATCTCGGCTTGTAAATACCCGGACCAATACACGACGCAGAATGGATACTCAAAATCGCGGCACACTGTGACGCATCTCGTCTCGAAGTACCCGGCTCCATCGCAGAAATGGCTGCTACCGAACGAAGATAGGCCGCGGCCAGTCTTCGCAAACACGGTCCACCAGCAAACATGCCATCAACCGGCAACAAACATGGTCATAAGACGCCGCAGCGCACGGCCGGCCCGCCTCCAATCTCGGCGTGAGCTGACAGTACGACGTGCGGTGGTAGGGTTCAGCCCGAGGCTCCGATCGATTCCCGGAAGTATTTTCCGACCATTCCGTGAGCGCGGTCGGTAGGAAAGGGAAGATAATCCGACAGTAATCGCCACGCACTTTCAGAATGTGGATCGCTCATGATTGTTCAATACAATACAATACAATACAATACAGTCTACCGCCGGCTTCCGGCATCTCCCCATAATCAGCAGTACCGTACCGTTCTCCGGTAAAGAGCGCCGGTCGATTGGGGAACGCGGTCGGCGAGCGGAGCTCAAGAGACTCGCATCTGTTGTCTATCCTCCCTTCATCAGTGCGTCTACCGAAGGAAGTCGCTAGTCGGTGACCTCAAGTCCGCATCGCATCAACGCCGACAGCGAAGATCAGAGCAATCGCGTCCCCGTCTGATCCTGAACAATTCACAGCTGGGTCACATGTGCACGTGACTGTGCGCCATAAAACTCCCACGGCAGGCCACCAGCCACCAATGAGGGTAAACCGATGATCCGCACCAATCACCACGGCTGATAGGGGCCACTTTATCGGGCTCTGTTAAAGCACCGATAAACTGAGATCACCGGACGGCTCACAGGCGGACTCGGAGTGGCCTAATAAACCGGCCTGCATATACAGAGCGCGGGCATGGCCAATAAACAAACGGGCGTATCGTGAACACGGTGCATAACACGTCTGCAAATGTCATAAACACAGTGGCGCATCATAACAAGAATACAAATTAGCTGCGGCAGCTCTGTCCGGCCATTTAGCTGCTCTTCTAGCAGCCTCCTCTGTAAGACCGATCATTGTCGTGTGTCCGCATCCACCTACCTTTTCCGAGGTGGGTGTTGATGCTCATGTAGCGGGCGGTGCCCGTGAGGCTCTTGTTCTCCCGGTACGGTATGTGCCGGTTTGTCTCCGGGTCGATATACTCCTTCGCCAGGCCGAAATCTGTGGGAAAAGCACAGTTCCGTTCACTTTATATCTAAACGTAGTCAGCACCCAGCCGATCTTCCGACCCCGTCAGACGGAATTTCTCCCCCCCCCCCCCATTCCCCCAGATCCATATCTCTCCCACCCATACACACCCACGGCGCCGGGCCGCCAGGCATAACATCCTATTGGCTCGACGCTTCAGCTCGATTGAACGGGCTCTGCCGACGCCCCACGGATGCCTGCATCCCCCTCCCCTGCATCCCCTCCCCCTCCCCACACCCACACCCGGGCCGGCTCGACTCTACCAGTGACGTCACAGATTTAGATAGAGCCGAGCGAGAACGGCAGCCGTCAAAACAGGCGGCCGTCGGTGCCTATCGGCTCGCCGTTCGGGCGCGTTTGCTCGCATCCGCAGCTCGAGAGAACTTAGCGGGCGGCAGGCGGAGCCGGGCGGCGGACGGATGCGGATACTCACCTATGATGTGGATTGTTTTGTCTTTTTGGTTTGAGCTTCGCCCTATGAGGAAGTTCTCCGGCTTGACGTCCCGGTAGATAAGGTGCTTGGAGTGGACGAATTCTATCCTATGTAACTGAAACACAGCGCCAAGAACGGTCAGCGTCATGTAGATACCAGATCTCGATATACTCGTACCTACAGATTGCAGCTGAGCCGCACGCAGGGTGTGTTCATGTCTATCACTTGTCAGCGGAAAATGTAGGGAACTCCGTGCAATGGTTGTCATTATCACTATGTTAACACGAATCTAAATAAGCAAGATAAAAAGTTACAGATAGCATCGACACTTCGTGAGGGTAAGCGCAAAAATCGTCTGACCTTACACTGTCCAAGAGCGTCTGAGGGTCACACCTTCGACAGCAGAGCGTACACGTTCTAAGAATGATACTAACAGTTCCGACAGGTTGCCACAAACGAACGGCACCGTGGCGCCGAACGCTTGTGTCAGCAAACCGGCCAGATACTGAGGATAAACACTTCACTGAGCCGCGCGTGGGTCAAAGCGAGAGGCGCGTCCCTGCCGAGTGCAGCGGCGAGGGGCCCGCCCCGGGCTCGCATGCATATGAGATCATAAACATAGCCCGGCAGGGCTCACGCATACTGTTAGTGAGTTAGCATCAACATCTGCACATCGAGCTGCAACAGAGAAATGCATGCAGCGCGACAGAAGATAACAGAGCTGGAGTAGTTCACAAAATACGCAGCCTTGGACAGCTATTTGTAACAAATATTACATTTTAAGCATGCAAGAAGACAGAAGAGATACAGCAGACAAAGCATGCATGTACGAAGCTGGGAGAGTGCGGCTCAATGCCTCCTAATGGATGGGGACACTGGCACGGCCATGAGGGAATCGGCCAGCCATTCTGAGCGACAGAGAACAGCAGACGGTCATCAGGTCTGCCGAGCCGCGACAGGCGGTCTCCGCGGGCGGGGACCACCGCCACCGCCGCCGTCGCCACGAGCTATGTCCCACCGAGCCCACAACTGCCACCTATTTCTGACGTGTGAAAACAAATCGTCGCACCATCGCTCGCGGCCGCTGTCGCTAAATATGACAGCGCCGCATAGTTCGCGTCAGCTAGTCAGCGGAAAAAGTGCGACATGGACCAGGGCAGCGGCCAGGTTATCACCGTTATGGCCGGGAGACGTCGAGTTGTGACGACTGCTGGGTGGAAGTTGTCGCTCTGGATCACTGGCCGACGTGAGACGAACGAGGAACGCACTGATATGCGACCCCACACCGAGATCCTGGGAGTAGACAGCTTGAGACAGGGCATCACTGTACTGGTGAGAGACAACAGCTGACAGTGGAAGCGCTTGCTTGTGCGTTACACCCAGCCTTGGAGTGATTTTGCAGCTCCAACATACAATGGACTCCAAACAACGCCCGACGTTCGCGGGCGGCTACACCGCTCGGCCACAGAAAACACCGCTGAAATGGGATGTCGGCAAAAACGCCAACGCCAATTGGGCTTTCGGCTGCCCTGTCGAAAGAAGAAACAAATTCAGTTAGGCTGTTCCGTAATGGACCAGACTGTGGAGCGCTGACCACCACCCGTTCCGCGAAGCCGAGGCCCCAGGGTGTTGTGCTAAGACGCTCGGAATGTCAAAAGAGTCAGACGGCGGCAGTACACTGCGCGTGGCTAATGGCGAAATGAGCCGCAGGGAGCCCTGCGCCACGAGCCTGAGCAGTTTGCGATGTCGTGACTAACATTCCTAACGCTAGAAGCTCCTCTGGGACGCCATTGCAAAGTGGGCCAGGATGCCTCGGTTACGCCACTCTGTGTTAGCCGGCTCGGCTATTTTTGCGCCCACTGGGACTGAAGCGTCGCCGTCACGTCAGAATGAGCTAGACCGTTACCGCAATTAGGCTTTTGTGGTGAATATTTATGTTATTTACCTCAGAGAATGCACAACATTCCACAGTGACATTTTGAAGTACGCTGACGGGCGTAGAAGCGCTGAGCTCGTCGTATATTCAGCATTACGCTGGCTGGCGTCCGTTTTTGACGTCGCTCGTCCAGTGGAGCTGACGCGGCCACGGGGCCCGGTGGGCTGGCGTTGGCAGCCATCCAGCCGGCCAGGCGTGGCGCGGGGCCGGGGCCGGCGGCCGGCGCGGTGGCGGTCCCCAGCTCTGTCCCGGCGGCGCCGGCCGAGCCGCCCGCCCACGCCGGCCGCTGACACGCCCCCCCGCCGGCCGGCGAGGTCCCGGCACCGCGCGCCGCGTGCCGACGCCGCCGGAACCCACGGCGCCACCATGGCCAGGCTGGCGTCCGTCCGTCTGGGGCGCGGCGGGGTGCGGGGTATGACCGCTGCCAGAGAGGCGATACCGCTCCCACGTCCAGGCCAGCCCCGAACAACTAGGGAGGCGAAGTCCTTCTGGAGGACCACGGACCACCGGAGATCGCAGACCAGTCCGGCGAAACAGAACCAGTCTGATGGTGAGGCAGCAGCCTCCGTTTCCAAGGCCGGCCTCCACATCGGAGCAGTGTTAGTAGCACGTCGAAGGTGGGTTATCAAAGCACCTGGCAGATTAACCAGTTGATGCATGCTGTACCGACCACCACCACCAAACCCCACTACCCTAAAATAAAACCATACTTACTAGCTGGACAGCTATCAAGAGCACGGTTTTAAGTGTGAAGCGCCGGTTACATAGGTCAAACAGATCTTCGAGGCTGGGTCCCAGCAGCTCCAGCGTGAGTGCGCGGTACTTGCTATTGCACATACCATAGTAATAGACCTCTGGTATGCCTTCTACTGGTGTCGCGCGCCCCACGCCGAGTCGTGCCGGTGCGAACCAAAACAGAACAGAGAACAGAGACACCGAGCATCAGTTACATGCCAGACGGAAGCCACGGCATGCGGACACAGAGACGGCGGCGCCCGCGCGCCCGCTCGCTGCTCGCGCGTGCGGCGTCCGCCCGTCGGCAGAGGCTGGACACGGGTCAGGTCAGGTCACAGAGAGGGATGGGAAGGTCATTGGGACTCGGCCGGACGGACACGACGAGCTACACGTAAGCCAAGACGGACAAGCGGACAGGCGGCAGGGCATAACGCTGGGAATGTGAACAGGCAGTAAGTGGGCGGACGGACAAGCGGACAGGCAGACAGATGAACAGGCGAGCGCAGAGCGAGCGGGCCAGCGAGCGAGCGGTGACGGGCGCCAGCCGCGGCGGACCAGCACGGCCGTACTTACTAATTGAATAGCTATCAACAACACAGTTTTAAGCGAGAACTTGCGATCGCACAGATCGAACAAGTCCTCGAGACTGGGTCCGAGCAGCTCCATGACCAGCGCGTTGTATCTGCCGCACGGCCCGAAGTAGTACACCTTGGGCACACCGTCTGTCGGCCGGCAAAGGTCAGGTCACGCCCGGTCACACGGCGTCAGCGGGCGCGCTATCTCCGGCCGCCTGTGGGATCAGCATTAGCACGACACACATACCACGCGCATTGATATGTGGTGACATGTAGCGAGAGCGATAACTTATCACTGGTCAATGACGGGATATTTTCAGGTATGGCGAGTAAGGTCAGGACACAGACACGCAGCACACAAGACACAATACGTACAATGCCAACAGAATAACGACACACACAAATGACCGCCAAACTGGCAAAAGGTCTACACAGCTTGCGTGAGAGATAATATCCCGAGAGTTAATAATTTTGTTGTCCCACTGCCAACGCGCGGCAAGCGTTGCAAATTTTCAGCACACCAGCCACGTTCCTCTGAGCTCGTCACGCAGCCCGTGTGACCAAACTGTGGCCGTTGCGCGACGCTTTTCTGCGTCCCCGGCACGCACATTAACAGTCGGCTAGAAAGGCGTCACGGACTGCGGTCCCAGCCTCCGGCGGCAATTACCGGTGGTGCAACCAACAGTGTTGACACTCACAGCGCTGCATAGTGCATAGCGTAGCACAGTGCGGTACGGTACATCATAGCACAGTACGGTACGGCACGGTATAGGACGGCATCACCCAGCGCGGTACAGCACATCACAGTACAGTAAGGCACGGCACAGCACCACACAACACGGGACAGGGTACGACACGGCACAACACGGAACGGCACGGTATTGCACAATACGGCACAGTGCGGCATTACAGAGCACAGCTAAGCACGGTAGAACACTCTTCCCACAGTGGTGCTGAACCACAGACATTTTTAGGGGGAACAGTTCGCCCAAAGACCACTGCATGAAACAATGCCTCTGGGAACGGGAAAGTCCGCAACTGCGCCACTGCAGAGTAACGGATGGGCCAAGGGAGCCCGAAGAGACCGAAGGCTCTAGATACAGGCTCTCAATTCTCAAATCCCAATGGTCCAGAAGTCTATAGCAGTTCAGTCATTGTCTCCGGAAAGTTGTGTGCTGACACAGTTTTACCGGTATGGCTGCAGAGGTTAGCATAAACAATTAACAAGCAAAGCACCGTTCTATGGAATGCGAAAAAGAGGAAAATGCGGGAAACGGAGCGATGAAAGAGGTAGCACAGTTAAGGCCAGTCTTGAGCATTAAAATTACGGCTCTTTCTAGTCACAATGGCGCGACAGACGCCTCCCATGTCGGCGATAATTCGATTTGAAAACAGAGTTTAAACTTCTGTTGGCTCTCGCTCCCGAATGTCAGTCTGCGACCCAGGAATAGCTACACATTGTGTTAAAGTTTCAAGACGGCGTGATAGACTCTATTCAGTTCAACACGCGATGGTCCCAAACGGTCGCGCTTTGAGACTGCGAGGAGACAATCCGGGTTTTGAAAATCCTCACGGTCGCGACTATCGGTCGCCGTCGTTGCCGATGCCAGACCAACAGTCGCGACGCTGATACTTCGACGACGTCCCACAAGACTCGCACTGTCGGCCATATCGTCGCTATCGACGGTCCGCGTCCGTCGAGCCCGATGCCCATTTCCGGCCGGAGTGGGCCACTCGCCAGGGGAGGGACGCGCCCGGTCCGTCGGACTGCGCCGCTGACCTCTGCTGGACAGACCCAGCCCACCATCGACAGACGGGGTCCACCGATCGATGCTGCGAGTTAGCGGCGCCGGCCGCCACCCCGTCCCTGTCTGGATCGGACCGGCGGCCGGCAGGTGCGCGCTAAGCCGCCGTCGTCGCCGGCAGACACTGACTCAGCTCAGCAGTACCCTCAGCGAGTCAGCAGTCGCCGCCCGACGCCCGCCGGACCCACCGCCCGGACCCGTGGACCTGGTGGGGGCGGAGCGGGGACGATCGACCACGACCCGTGGGGAGACGGGCGGCATCTCGGCGCCGCCGTCCGCCGGCCGACAGAAGCTCAGTCCGATGATGTGTGTCAGTCGGCCGGCCGCAGCGAAAGCGGAGCTGGGTGGCCGTGGCGGCGCGCGGCGCCCTCCGCCCGGATCGGGGGCACATTATGTGGCCATTACTTCAGCCGCGAGATATAAACGTCACCACCATCGCCATCACTGCCGCGCCAGCACACCGGCCACTCCACCCGGCTCACTGGCCAGGATGGACGGCCGTCGACAACAGAGCGGGCGTTCATTCGAAAGAGGGGAGAAACATGTATATCGCTGACTGATGAGCGATGGGAAGTCACGGGCGAATCACGGGGAGTTAGAAAGACAAGGGATTCCAATGATATCCGCACCATCGCTCACTCTGTCTGCGTTGTGCTCTACATCAATTGACAGCAGACAAACCACGTCAGATTCTGCAGTAGCAACTACTGTTCTACTGACACGGTCCAAAAACTACAAAACCCTGATGACACACACCAGGATTGGTCCAATCACCGCCCGTTTATCGGCCATTTCAGCAGTGTCTCTAAGCCCTGCCGCTTCGTCGACGCCTTGCCGTGATTAAAGTTCCCCAAACTCACTAACAAGACCAGCCACCAGCGCCGCCGCCTTCATCGAACGCCCGCAGCCCCACCCCGGCGTCTCCGCCCGCCTCGGCCCGTCGCGTCGTCGCTCCTCACCGCCGCCTCACACGGGCACCATCGACCCCGACGCGGGCGCATCGTCGGCCGGATGACTAAGTGCGTTATAATTACCCCGCAGCACCGGTGCCACGTGAGACTGTGGACCGAAGACGGCGTCGGCTCACCACCCGGCCGCCGGCGCCGAGCTGCCACCGGTCGATATCCGGGTCTCGGGAGGCAATCACGAGCTTTGACAGGTCGCTGCCGCCGCAGGGGATAATGAGTTAACAGCGTAGGCTGTGGACGCGGTTCAATATAGCCGCCTTCGGACGTCAGTCAGGTGAGGAGAGGTTGGTCCGGTCAGGCTGCGTCAGATAAAGAGCGAGCGATCGGTCCAGGTCACCCTGACGTGCCCTTCACGCCTGGAGGCGACCGACAGGTCACCTGATCCGGACCGGACTTCAGTTCCGTTCACCTGACCGCGCCCAGTCAGCCTGAGAGCAGGCGAAGTGCCGTCTCCTCGTAGTCAGTTCATGGTCGGTCGCCTCCAGTCGCGAGCTGCTCCGGCTTTTCCCCGGCGGCTGCCGGTTCCCACACGGCTACCAGCTCGGCAGAGTGGCTTCTGCCAGTCATGGCGCCGCCTCCCAGCTCAGCGTCACACCAAGGCAGCCCGGCGGATATTTTTCCCATCTCAGGCCGCCACCCAGGGCCGGGGCCGGTGGTCGTCACACCGCGTTACCGCCAATGTCCAACACGCTCTCCCGATCGGTCGACCTTACAGGCGTCATCGGACCACCAGCGACGCGGCCCGCGGGCACAACCCGCGCCGGCCACGGTCCATGGACCACGGGACAGATCGGTACCGCATTCCCGACCACCCTGTCGTTCCCCACGACACGGGGGACAACGATCGGCCGGGCCAAGTGGTACAGGATGAACCCGTCACCCGGCCTCGGTCTGCTCGCGGCAGGCTGGTCATTTAATCCAGAGCTAATCGAGTAATCACATTGGCGCCGCGCGGGGGCGCCGACCACATTAGCATTAGCCCACCGGCTGAATTTGTCTGTCTGTCCGCCCGTCCGGTTCATTCAGGCGCGGCACGATTCCATCCCGGCCGCCCGACCCAGGGACAGCTCGGCGGACAGGGCCGGTGGTTGTCGCTGCTGAATGGATGACGGTGCGCACGCTCTGGCCGCGGCCAGTCGCCCCCCGCCGAGCCATCAGCGGCTAGTCAGACGGGCGGCGCCGCCGAGCCCCGCAGACGGGCGGCAGTTTCTACACCATTGGACATGAAGCAGCCGGCGCCGGCTCGGTCAGGCGGCAGGCCGCTCTGCCGGCGGCTCTCGGTGGCGGGCGGGGTTTACTCCACCATACAGGCCCACCACGGCCCATCACTGACCCAGCAGCGGGCCACTCTGTCCCACAGACCCACCACTCACCCATCACCGACCCAGCAACGGCCCATCGCCGGCCAGCGGGCGGCAGCCGGCAGCGGCCACAAACGGAAGTGAAACGCGGCCACCCGAATCAGGCTAATTGAAACAGCGCCCGAACGAGCGGGCGCCGGGGAGCCAGAACTCAGCTGGTGCCAGTCAGTAAACGTCCGCACAGACCAGCATCAGACATCAGGTATCCGACCCGCTGTCACGAACCGACGGGAGCCCTAACGAATTTTGTGGGCCTCGGACAGCCCATTCACAAAAAAAACTTCACCTGAGGTGATATCAGATGGGCGCTCACTTCATCAGGACCTCCCTGGCGCCCATGTAACCCCATTTAGTCAGCTCGTTAGCGGGTCTCTGACCCTTTCTCGTCGGGTCTAGGCTGACCACTGAGCGGGATACCATCCCGAGGGGAGGCAGCTGGACGGGGGCTGGAGAGATGAATGTCGGCCCTTTCACCGGTCCTGCTCGTGTCCGGTTCGGTCCGACCCGTACAATGGGCAGGTGAGCCGGGCCGACGCCACCTGCCGCATGGGGGTCCGAAACGAGCTCCGGTAGGTAGCACATGGTGGAAAGGCGGCCAACAGTGGTGCGTATCATCGCCTAGCGACCGATCTATTCACACAGTGGACGCTAGTGTGAAAGACCGAACTTTTACAGCCAGCGTTCGGACCGAGCTGAGTCAACGCCGGATGAGCACTATCAAGTGACCCACGTACAGTCCAGGACTCCAGACCCTTAGGCACGTGTGAGTCACATTTTACATTCTGCGGAAGCGAATTTCCCGACCTCTATGTCCCGTGACACAGCGGGCAGCCAAAGGCGGCAACAAAAACCCTAATCACTCTCCTACCAAAAACGTGTCTGAGCAGGCTGGAATCGGCACTGAGTCAGCTCCTGCCAAACAGGTCCGCACTCCGCATCCCTTCTCGGCAATATGACCGGCGCAGGTTCGGACAGGCACAGACCGTTCCATACCAGGCGGCTTATACTGGGAT